GTTCCCCATCCACATGTGGCAGGGGGTGAAGTAGTTAGAAGGTTGGGTCTTGAGGTGTGAGATAGTGAGATAGTTCAGCGGCTCCTTATTGGTTTCATTGGGTTCATCTCTCCTGTCCTCTTCCCTCTCTTCTTCCCTCTCTTTACGAACACCAGGAGGAGTATGAGGAGGCGGCCAAGGAGGAGGGAGATCCGCCGGTGAAGAAGACTCTTGTCCTGCTGCTTCTTCTTCTCTTTCCACTCCCTAGCTTTTCATAACGCTCTCCCCTGTATCCCCCCGCTTCGCAGGAGGAGTATGAGGAGGCGGCCAAGGAGGAGGGAGAGCCTCCAGTGAAGAAGACTCGCACGGTGGAGGAGAAGTACTCTGACTGGGTGCTCGAGAATGATACCAAGCCCATCTGGGTGAGTCAGTCAACGCTGGTCAATGCTGGTCAACGTGAGTCATAGAATCAGCGCAGGTCAACGCTGGTCAATATGAGCCCTCGGTGAAGAAGACTCGCACGGCGGATGAGAAATACTTTTGACTGGATGCTGGAGAATGACACCAAGCCCATCTGGGTGAGTCAACGCTGGTCAATGTGGGTCAACGGTACTCAATGCAAGTCATTGGGAGTGAGGAAGAAGAGCGTGTCCTTCCTCCTCCTCTCTGTCCTGCTTCTTCGCCATGTCCCTTTCTGTGAGTCCCCAACTTTCTTCCTCTCCTTCTGCCCTCCCCCTCTCTGCCCCTATTGAGTTCTCTACCTCCATTGACCTCCACTCTCTCTGCTCCTCCACCCATACCCCTGTAAGTCCGTGCACCTAAAGAAGTCGAGCAAGCAGGTGACTTTTGAGTCGACTCAAAAGTCACCCAGAGAACAGCGAGTTTTTTTGAGTCGACTCAAAAGTCACCCAGAGTACAGCGAGTTTTTCAAAACAGCTTCAACGAGTTCCTTGACTTGCTTGTTCACTCTTCCACTTCCCTTCCCCGGTCTGCGCTCCCTCTTCCCACCACACCACACCCCTTTTGTATGATAGGTCCGTGCACCCAAGAAGGTGGAGCAAGGCGAGTACAGCAAGTTCTTCAAGAACACCTTCAAGGAGCTCCTCGACCCACTGGCACACACCTCTCTCCCCCGACCTCTTTCCCTCCACTTACCCCCTCTCTCTCTACCCCCTCTCCCCTTACATTCCCCTGCAGGTGCGCGCACCCAAGGAAGTTGAGCAGGCAGAGTACAGCGAGTTCTTCAAGAACACATTCAAAGAATTCCTCGATCCTCTCGCCCACGCGCACTTCTCAACGGAGGGAGAGATCGAGTTCAAATCGCTGCTGTACGTGCCGGGCATGGCGCCCTTTGACGCCAACGACATGTTCTCGGGGAAGACAAGGAACATCCGGCTCTACGTCAAGAGGGTTTTCATCTCCGACCAATTCGACGGCGAGCTGGTATGTCGCTTATCGTGGGCATCGTGCGCAAGGTGTTCGACATTCTGTGCGCTTGCTCCCTCGCATGCTGCCTCACATGCTGCCTCACATGCTGCCTCACATGCTCCCTCACACGGCCCTCCTCAAAGCGCCTCCTGTCCCACATTTCCCTGCTTCCCTACCCCTTTCCCCGTCCCTTTCCCCTTTCTCCCCCCTTCCCCCGTTCCCTTTCCCAGTTGCCACGCTACATGGCGTTCATCAAGGGTGTTGTCGATTCCAACGACCTCCCACTGAATGTGTCTCGCGAGATCCTCCAAGAATCCCGAGTGGTGCGAATCATGCGCAAGCGCCTCGTGCGCAAGGTGTTCGACATGCTGGACGACGTCGCCGCCCGGAAAGACGCGGATGGCAAGCCGAGCAGCGACTACACCACCTTCTGGCAGAGCTTCGGGAGAAACGTCAAGCTCGGGTGCATCGAGGACACTGGTAACCACAAGCGGCTGGCTCCCCTCCTCCGGTTCTTCTCGTCGGCTTCCGAGGACGAGTTGATTTCTCTCGAGGATTACACGGGCAGGATGAAGGACGCGCAGAAGGAAATTTACTACATTGCCGCGGATACGGTCCGCAGCGCGAAATCCGCGCCGTTTTTGGAGAAGCTGAACCAGAAGGGGCTGGAAGTTCTCTTCCTGGTCGAGCCGATCGACGAGGTTGCAGTTACCACGTTACAGAGCTACAAGGACCTCAAGTTTGTGGATATTTCCAAGGAGGATCTGGATTTGGGGGATGAGGGCGACGAGGCGAGCAAGAGGGAGCAGGAGAAGGAGTTCGCAGGCGTGTGTGACTGGATGAAGGGCGTGCTAGGGGACAAGGTGGCCAAGGTGCAGGTGTCTCAGCGGATCGCCTCCTCGCCCTGCGTGCTGGTAGCTGGGAAGTTTGGCTGGTCCGCTAACATGGAACGGTGAGTCAAACAGAGTCAAAGCAGATTCAAGTGGGGTCAAGCAGAGTCAATGAGGGTCAAAGCAGTCAAGGGAGGAGACAAGGTGGCCAAGGTGCAGGTGTCTCAGCGGATTGCCTCCTCGTGTCTGTGTGGTTCTCTTGGCGGACCAACTCAAGCACGCCAGGAATGAGGGAATGGAAAGTTCGTTTCGTCCATCCCCTTTCCCTTTCCTGTTCTCTCCTCCACCGCTGCAGCATCATGAAGGCGCAGACGATGGGCGACCCCCAGCAGGCGGAGTTCATGAGGGGCAGGAGAATCCTGGAGATCAACGCTGACCATCCGATTATCAAGGACCTCAAGGTGAGACTTAATCTGGCCCGTTAATGCCTTCTACGTGAAAAAACTTCGGCAGTGGAGTGGCTTGTTGCACACTTATGTTTGCCTTAATGATCTAATCAGGAGATTTGGAACTTGGTAAAACTTTGGAACTCTGAAACTTGTTTAGGTAAGCTTGGGACATCCTCACATCGCACGCACTTGCCGCCTTGCTTCCCTCCCGTCACTCTGTTCCCCCCCTGCAGGTGCAGAGCAGTGTGGCACCGGATAGTGCCAAGGCGAGGCAGCTGGTGGATCTGCTGTATGAGACGGCTCACATCGCCTCGGGATTCCCGGTGAGTGGGATTGCTTGATGGGATGTGTATGGTTGCCATGACATGTGCATGCTTCATTATGAGATGTATATGGTTAATTTTAAGGTGCACGGGGTAGTTTCATGTACACATGGTTGGATCTTCGTAGTTTAAGGTTTTTTTCTACTATTTTCAGTGACACGTTGTCCCACCCGTGTGTCTCCTAACTGGCATTCTTTAACCAGCCGGAGAACCCTGCTGAGTTTGGCTCTCGTGTCTACGAAATGATGGCTCTTGCCATTCCTCAAGCTGCTGCCGCTGCACCTGCTTCTCCATCCTCGTCAACAAGCACCCCGGTACAACCTGAAGTTGTGGAGGCCTCCGAAGTGCGCACGGAGGGTGATGCGCGGAAGTGAAACAAGGGAGCGTCGTAGTTGAAAGAGCATGATGGTGCTGATAGGGGAACTATATTTGATAGATGGGATGAGCATTTTGTGCCTCATTTTGTGTGTTCTAATCTAGCTTGGAACTGATTTTTGACTTCAAAGAATTCACAGTCGCTCTCATGACTAGCAGAGCGATACTGATGTGGGTAACTCGGTAGAACACTGCTACCAAAGCGAAGCATTCTGAATTGGGAAAGTGCGATCGACGTCATGCATCGTCATTCCTCGTCGACTCCAGTCCATCGATCTCCTAGAGCTGACGACGATGCGCTATGGATCTCTCGACTTCGATGACCTTTCCTGTCACCGAAGGGAGTAACTGTTTTCATTCGCCCGCTATAATTCGCCGCGGCACGGCTTGCAACACGGAAATCATGGCGGGATTCGCTGACGCGGATGTGAAACATTTCACGTCGAATTTGACGGGTCTCCGTTCAATTTGACGCTAATTCCGGTGATCTCCAGGTCGGTTCCGCCCAAGGGGGTCTGCTGAACAGAATTAGCTGACGTGGCACTCGACTTAACCTTATTCGGATGGCGATGACGTGACACCACGCTGGCACTCATCCCGAACTGACTCTTTCCCGCTCAGCTGAACAGTCTCTCATGAATTGGGATTTTGGAATCTTCTCTCCACCACGGTCTCTCTGCTTTGTCACGGGCCATTTTCGTTTTAGGCGCATCTTTTCAAGTCTCTGTTCCGGCACGTGTGTACAGTGCGCAACAGAAACTCTGAAGGATGCGCCGGGCTCCCACCTGAACATATTTTCTGTACTATAGAGATTGCACCTGAAAATGGCCCAAACCGTTCCCCTCGTAGATTGGCCACTAAACTCCGAAGGTAAATTACATCCAATCACAGTTATCTCCGCGATCAGCTCAAGGTAGCAATCCCTGGGTCCTGTCAAGTCGCGGCGAAAACCATTCAGATCTACGCCACCCCCACTCATGGAAACGGACCTCCGATTCACCTCATCCTGAAATTCGTTCCTAGACTCACAACTCGTAGCTTCGATTTCTCCAACGCTTACTCAGATTACTTTCTCGAATAACCACGCATATAATTGGCGGGAAAGTGATAAGGGCATCGAGGATTGGATGATATTCTTCTCCTTGTAGGGCTAGACCCTCCCACGACGTTCCAAGACTTCAGGCGAACAAGTGGACTAGCCAGCGTGACAAGCGAAGTAAGCCAAGCCAAGCCAGGTGGTCAAAGCGCGACGCGACCTCACATCTCTCGTGGCCCTCTCTGATAGCATCCGTCGGCCTCCACCACGCGCAGCGAGTGAGTTCCGGGCTTCGCGTCACGCGCGTGTAGTACGTAGCACTTTCTCTTGCGCCATGATCGCCACAGCAACAGCCCTAGCGGCTGAACGTACTTAGTTGCGAGAAAATCACTGGACGTATTAGTAGCAACGCCTTTTCGTTTGCGAAGGTTTCTCAGTACCCATCGTGATCTTAAATCTGTCGAAACCACTGAATCCAGTTTCCTTGCCACGAGCACTGCGTATTCTATCGATAGAGTTTCGAGTTTGACCTTTGCTTTTCACCATGGCTCCAGCTATCGTCGTCGCAGGCCCTAGTATCATGACTCTCTCGCAAGTCGGTGTGCGACCCCAAGTCGCATCCGCAGCGCTACACGCACCCTCCTCCAAATCCGCCGCACGCGCCACGTCAGCCAGATCCACGTCGTCAGCGAACGTGTGCGCAGTCAGCGCGTCGGCAATCCCTAAGCCGCTCGAATGGCTCGAGGTGTCTGGCAGCCCGTTCGAGCGCGGCTGCGCGATCGGCGTGCGATTCGGCGACAAGATCCGCGACCGCGTCTCCAAGGCGCCGTTTCTGCACGACGATATGATTCCGTTCGCACGGACGGGTGAAGGAGCTTGGCTGCTGGAAATGTTTTCCGAGTCCAACAAGTGAGCCCTCATTATGACTCAGAACGCCGCCTTTTAACTCCACGGGTATTAACGACTGAACAAGTAAACCACTCTTCTGAGCAGATTACAAGAAGTGAATAAAACGCACTACCTTTCTGCGCTCAAACAACGTATCCAGCAACCACTAGTTATCACCTAACGGCGAGCTATCACAGCCCTATCTTCAATGAAGTTGTAGGTCAACTCGGTACAGCACCCACCACAGCTCAGACGTTTTCCCCCGCCGCCTCTCCTGCCCTCCCCTTCCCCCCCCCCTCTAATTTCCACTGCTACCGCAGGGCGCTATACCCGGAGTACTGGGAGGAACTCCGAGGCATGGCAGCTGGCAGCCGCGTTCCGTTTGACGAGGTGAGCCGATCCCCTTCACCGAATGTGACTTGAGCCGCCTTGTTTGGCGAGCTTAGTGGATCCCCTACACCGCGGTGGGCGTCGTTGAAAAGGTTTGATTGTGGTCACTGTCCAGTCTTGTGCTGCCTGTCCAACCGTTTGCTGAACTGGCCTGGCTTTGAGAAGCTTCAAACGGAATCTGAGTGAGCTGCAGCCCGTCGGATGAGGATAGATCCGACGGCTGGAGTAGTAGGTAGTCTGGATGCTTTCGCAAAAATCACCACCCCCCACTTCATGTCTACTATCCTCAATCTACTGTCTACTGTCTACCCTGTTGTACCTTAACACCCATCTCTTCCACGTCAGCTGCTGCTTCTGAACCTTCGCAAGGAGTTCGGCCCCTTTCTGCCGTCACTCAACGCTCCTGCCACGTCAGCACTGCTGCCTGAGCTGGCCTCGCCGGCTATGACTGGATCTGGTGGTTCTGGTGCTGCCTCGTTGGACAGGGCGCTGCAGTATGGCATGTCGTCTGACGACTGCTCTGACGTGTTACTGCTCACGGATGACGTGGCAGCAGTGGGGCACAACGAGGATGCGGACTACTCGATTGTGGATAACACGTGAGTGGCTGCAGTTCCCATGCCACCATGCCTATCATGCCACACCATGCTGTGACGTGCCGTGCCATGCCATGCACATCACCATGCTGTGCTATCCATCCCATATCATATCATGTCATGTCATTCAACGTGCCATGCCATCCGATGCCATGCCATGCCATGCCATGCCATGCCATGCCATGCCATACCATGCAATGCCATACCATCCCATGCTATGCTGTACTATACCATCCCATGTAACCCGTTGACCATGCCATCCCATGCTATGCCATGTCCGTGAGTAGCCCTTCCTCACTGCTTCCCACTTCCTGCCTTTCTTCCACCTCTCCTCTGCATCCCGCATCATTTTTCTCGCAGCTTCCTGGTGCACGTGCACGCCGACAGCGGTGTTGCCTTCACTGCGTACACCTATGCGGGCGAGCTCCCATCTGTGGCATTCGGGTTCAATAACGCCAGAATGGTGAGAGCAGAGAGACTCACTGCTGCCCACACCATAGCATGGCATCACCATGCCATTGCTCTCACCGCATACACCTACGCGGGCGAGCTCCCTTCCTTGGCTTTCGGCCTTAACAATGCCAGAATGGTGAGAGCAATGAGAGCAGAGAGGCTGACTGTCACAACTGAGTTCACGAGGTGTTGCCTTCACCACATACACATACGCGGGCGAGCTCCCATCTGTTGCTTTCGGCTTCAATAACGCCAGAATGGTGGGTTCTTGTTGTTGCTGAGAGGTGTAACTACGTTCACAATGGCGTTGCCTTCACCGCAAACATGTACACGGGCGAGCTCCCTTCTGCTGCTGCTATCCCTTCGGGCTCAACAACGCCAGAATGGTGGGTTCTCAGTGCTGCATGGTGTGCAAGCGGACAGGCCTCCTTCTGCTGCTGCAACTGATTCCACATAATGTTGCCTTCACCGCGTAAAGGCAACACACGGCCTTCACTCACTGGAGAGGCCTGTCTGGGCGAGCTCCCATCCGTGGCCTTTGGACGCCTTTCTTGGGAACTCTCACTTGGAAGAGGTAAATTCCGTGCAAGGGAAGCGCCATTCGTTGCTCGCAGTGTCTCTTCTCATTCGAAAGCCACGTGGAATTAGAAGTGTTTTGAGACGTGTCTCAAAAACACTTCTAATCTCACGTGGCCTTTCTTGGGAATTCTCACTTGGAAGAAGTCAACTCCGTGCAAGGGAAGCGTCATTCGTTGCTCGCAGTGTCTGTTCTCATCCTCCTTCTCTCCTTCCTTCCAATTCCCCTTCCTCCAGGGATTCTCCATGGACACAGTACCCCCAGCGCCGTCAGAAGTGGTGAAGGGAGGCATAGGGCGCAACTTTGTTGCTCTGTGCCAGTTCTCACAAATGTTTCATCCTCCTCCTCCCTCCCCTTCCACCATCCGTTCCCCCCCTCAGGGATTCTCCATGGACGCAGTACCCCCAGCGCCGTCAGAAGTGGTGAAGGGAGGCATAGGGCGCAACTTTGTTGCTCGCAGCCTCATGGAGTCACAGTCAATAGAGGATGCCGTGCAGGTGAGAGTGACTTTGATTGTAACGAGTGCGAATGGAACGATTGTAATTGTATCGAGGGGTAACTGTAACGGGATTGACCAAGGAAGAGATAGAGAGGCATAGGGCGCAAATCCTACAGCCTAAACTTTGTTGCCTACAGCCCCATGGAGTCGCGTTCCTTAAAGGATGCTGTGCAGTTCAGAGTGACTGTAACCAGTGGGACTGCAAAGGGGGGGACTAGGAGGTGTGGCAGTAGACAGTTGAAGTGATGTCAGCCTGAGGACCCTTTTCTTACTCTCCTCAATATCCTTCACCTCCTCTTCCCTCCACTCCCGCCCCTCTCCCTTCCCCCCAACATCCCGCTCCCAATCAACACGTGCCACATGGCAGCGTGTGACTGGCCCAGCGGTGGCAGTGGGGCATCACTACGTGGTGATGGACTTTGCTCACCGGCGAATCGCGTCCGTTGAAACCGCATCCAATGGCCGGCATAGCATCCTGGAGCTGGGCCCAAACCCTAAGTTGGGAAGCCAGGCTGACCCTAATGGTGCTGCTTCTAATGATGTTGCTTCAAACGGTGCTGCTTCTGCTAACGGTGCTGCTGCTGGTGCGGAAGGCACGGCATACATATTCCATGCCAACGCATACACGAGGCTGCAGCTGCATGAGCAGATGGGCCCCAGTGCTCACCGCAGAGAGGCCACTGCCAGACGCCTGGGCGCTCCCACAACCACCCACGACATGCTTAAGGTGAGACGAACTGTAAAGGGCTGCCGTCGAGTGTGTGTGACAAGTTCAGGTGGAGGTAACGTGAGTGCTGAAGGCTTGAAACACATCTTCCATGCCAACGTGTACACGAGGCTGCGTCTACATGAGAAGATGGGCCCCAGCGCTCATCGCAGAGAGGCCACTGCCAGACGGGACTATACTGACAAGGAGTATACATCTTCCATGGGCATGGCAATGCCTTGTCATGGAACCTGCCCTCACATGCCTTCCCTCCTGCCTCTCTCTCCCCTCCGTGCCCTCCCATCAGATCCTATCCAACTCAGACGACAAGGAGTATCCCATCTTCAATGAGGGAAAGGCCTTTCCATGCCCTCATCTCTCCCTCCCGTCCTGTCCCATTCCTCACTCTCTCCCCGCACCCCTCCCTCCCACCAGATCCTATCCAACTCAGACGACAAGGAGTATCAAATCTTCAATGACGGCAATGCCTTCTCACGCCCCCTCACACATGTCTACATCTCGTCTCTCCCCCTCCTGTGCTTGCCACCCCCCTTGTGTCTCCCACCAGATCCTATCCAACTCAGACGACAAAGAGTATCCCATCTTCAATGAGGGAAACCCCTTCGAGATTGGAGGTGAGTCATCCGGTGCGGTGTACAGGTGTATGAGGAGGTTGTGCGGTGTTCTGTGTCCCATTGACTTGCAAGCACCACTCAACTCTCTCCCTTCATCTTCTCCCAACATCTGGGTTCGATTAGGATGCTGGGAAACTCAGCACTTTCTGTCTTCCACCATCCCTACAAGCGCAACTCACCCCTCTCCCTTCCACTTTTCCCAACACCTCCTTTCCCTTCCCTCTCTCTCCACCTTCCAGGCCCGGTCATCCACACGCTGCATACCGCACTCTTCAGCCTGGATGCTGGGAAACTTAGCGTCTTTGGCGGGCGATCCACAGATGGCAACGTGCTGCATGAGTTTGATGTCTGAAGCACACCTGAGGGGCACCTTAGAGGGCACCTGAGGGGGCACCTGAGAGGCACATATAAACCTGGATGCCAGGAAGGTGGCCATTTTTGGCGAGCAGGCCACGGATGACAATGTGCTCGTATGACTTGGGCGTCTGAGGGGCGCCTGAGGAACACCTGAAGGGGCACCTGAAGGAACACCTGAGGGGGCACCTGAGGGGCAGTTTTCGGAATCTCCTACCACTGCGTTCGGTGCAGTTCCATTCAGTTGGTTTGCTATTTAGTTTAAATATTTGCTTGATTCCCATGTATAGATGCCCATTGCCCATTAGTGTAAATCTTCCCTTTAACATATGCTTGCTTCCCATACACTGCCCAAAGGCCTCTCTCTGCAGTGACGCCCCCAGTAACTACTGACGTACAGCAGAGTCCTGTCCTGGTGATACGGTAGCTCTCAGAGTTGTGCTTTGGCGTGACATACAACAGACTTGAGACTTGAGGGAACCTGAAGGACAACTGAACTGAACACTCTGGGGACATCCGAGGGACACCCAAGGGACACGTGAGTGAGGGACACCCAAGAGACACGTGAGGGACATGTGTGGGACTTGTGAGGGGCACTTGAGGGGCACTTGAGGGACAGTTGAGGGACAGTTGAGGGACATCTGAGGGACAGTTGAGGGACATCTGAGGGACACCTGGGGGGTACCCCCGGGACACCTGAGAGGCACCTGACCCGGGTGGTAGCTCTGAATGTGTGTCATAGCAATGCACACTAATCTAGTTGAGAGTGTCCTTTCCAGTACATAAATCGTGTTGGAAACATTTAGTTTACGCTTCTGAAGTATCGAGCACTAAAACAAAAAGAGAAGTATACTCACAGCGAAGCAACACCGAGTCAACCAAAGCGGTTGACTAGGCGACAACAGCAGGAGGTTGAAGCGAAGGTCAAAGGTCAGCGACCTTTGACTTGACAAAGGCAGCGCGACAGCAAGGACAAATCACTGACTCGTTATTGAGCAGTTACCCGAGTCGTCGCTGTATCGAACCGCAACAGCAGTTACAGTTAAACCCTTCGTATTCCTTGTAATCATATATATCCTTGTATCTCTTTGCTTTAATCAATTCATCTTGTTCTCACATGTTGGAAACAAGTGATTTATAACGCTTCTGTCGTATCGAAGCTTCGACACAAAACGGAACTGACTACAGCGAAGAAGCACTCGAGTCAACTAAGGCAACCGTCGGAGGTTGCGCGAAGGTCAAAGGTCTCCGACCTTTGACCTGACGAAACGTACAGTGCGACAGCAAGGACACATAACTGACTCGTTACAGAGCAGTTACCCGAGTCGGCACTGTATCGAACCGCAACAGCAAAAACAGTTAAAATAGAACTTTCCATATTCCTTTGTAATCATATAAAAGCCTTGTACTTCTCTGCTATTATTAACTTATCTTGTTCTCACACACGAGTACAAGGTGGTTCACGACAACTCTTCATTAAACGCTTCCGCTATTACATCTCTACGTCAACACCCGATCCTAGTCCTGAAAGTTTCTAAGGGCTTTTCTCAGCCCAACATGTTGTGAGAGCAAGGCAGGACAATATCACTTTTTAACCTTTTACAATACAAGTCATGGCTACACAAAAGGAGAGGAGCTCCTCCAATGGATCTCTCGGCACCACCCCTACTCCACCTCCAGTCTCTGGCCTACAGACAGAAGAAGGCACAAGACCAGCTGCAGAGTCAACGGAAACTCCCGGGAATCAAGCGGCAGGCTTCGACCCAAACATGATGGAGAAAATTTTCTCCTTCATGTCCTTCTACGAGCAACATCAGCAAGCAGCTCCTGCGCAATCAAACAACAGCAACAACAACAGAGCAACACCAATGAGTCTTGATGGTTCATCGTACGCGCGCGGAAATCAACAACAACCTACTGTATACTCCCGGACAAAACACCCCCCCATAATTGTACACCCCCGGGTAGCTTGTGCGGGGTGTGTGTTATGGGGAGCCTCGTTTCTACTATACCCCCCTTTTTTGCTGATTTTCTATAACACCCCCCTTTTCTTACGATTTCGTTATAATAGTCGTTAACGAGTAGCTGCAATATTGAAGAATATCGCGAAAATTTCTCCCTAGATGAAATTTCGCGGTACATTCACTTACAATCTACCGAGATTTCCCCCCTCGCACTACTTCGCTGTGACCACGTGCAGGCGAATCTTCCGCTGCAAGTGGCAAGAGAGGTGCCACATGGCATTTTCGTGGGGGTGATGAAGCTCGTGGCCGAAACCCACATTCGCGCCTCAGACAATGATGTTAAAATGAAAATCAAAACACCCACATTGTCTAATTAAATAAACACTAACACTAAAATATACCATATGTAAAGACCCGGGTATTATGTATTTTTTTCCTATGAGGAGACCCCCCCCCTTTTTTCCCTGTATTTTTAGCTATACCCTAGGGTGCTATGTCCGGGAGAATACGGTACCTTTGCTCTGTATGAGCCTCAACGCGGCTCTGTCAGTTTCGCGCCGCAGCCACAGTCTTCACCTGGACAAGAGAAGACACTGGACGCGCTTCAGGTGCAATCGCAATTCGCACACGTTCTCAAATTACAAACATCAACGCTTTTCGACGGGAAGGATTTTTATACCTGGTCTTTCGAGTTCGAACTGATGATGGAGGGCGCGCAAATCCTCAGATTCTTTGACGGATCCCTGCCATATCCAGCACACGTGACACAGTACGACAAGCAGCAATACACGTATCAGTCGCTGATGGCGTATACAATACTTCTTCGAAACTTGACGCCAAACGAGCAACAGAACATTCGTTCTTATCGAGGATACGGCAACTCCGCCGAACTGGCATACGACCATCTGAAGAGCCTGTATCAAGCAACAGACAGCGTTAACCAGAGTCGTCATGGCACGGTTGACAACAGTGGAAATGAAACCCGGCAAAAAGGGAATGGCTTATATTAGCCGTTGTCGCAGACTACGCGACAGACTCCTTCGATGCGGAGGGTCAATTTCGGAAGAAGCATTTGTAACAGTTATCATCGCCGGCCTTGGTCCTCATTGGCGCTCCACTCGAGCACTTCTTCGAGCTCACGGGAAGATCTCTGAAGCAGCACTCTGCGCCGAAATTCACGCTGAACAGCAAGATATGGACCTGCACGAAGAACGACACAAGAAGAAAGCATTAGCACCGGAGTTCGCCTTCCACACTCAGAGACGCTACAACAACAACAACAACAACAACAACCGACACAACAACCGACAAGTAGAACAATACGTCCCACTGTTTTGTCATCTTTGCAAGACGTCCGGTCATCCGCGCACACACTGCCCGAATCAGCAGCAGTCGACAACACCGCAACGTCAACTTCGGCCTTCAAGCAGTCAAGTAACTTCTACGGAGGCGCATCCCACCAGTCAAGTGCAAAATTCAACATCTTCAACATCGCAATCTGCACAAGGAACAAGAAACATCGTTAGCTGCATGACAAGAACGACGGATTCCTGTGTCACCGGATCACCACCTCACTACTCACCAGAAGACCAACTCGATGAAAGGACTCCCCGCCGCGAATCACTGGAACCCAATCCAACGTATGCAGCTATCGCCCAAAGCGAGCCGTCCGGGCAAGACACCTGGTTCTTGGACAGTTGCTGCGGACAACACATGTGTTCTTCAAGTCGCTTCGTTCAACAAGAACACCAACTTCAACGCGAAGTCGTCATCACCGTGGCCAATAACCAGAACCTGCACACACGACGACAAGGCGTAGTACAACTTCAATCCCGAGAAACCAACGTCATACTACAAATGTCTAAAGTACTGATTGCAGAACGACTTGGCTACAACTTACTAAGCGTCAGCCAACTGATGGCGAAGGGGATCCATCTTGAAGCAGACAGCACCACTCAGGAGTTCAAGCTATTCAACGGTAGAGGAGGACTCTACATCGGCAGAGCGGTCTTGAAAAATAACGTCTTCGTCCTCGACTTTGTACCAGATCAAGGCACCGCCGATAGCGACGCCATCGTCAACTTCGCCTCTTGGACGCACCCACCGGATCTCGACCCCGAATTTGTTAGATAGTAGCGAAAATGACAAGAGGATGATTTAATAGGAAGCAAGGAAGGGTACAAGTATAATGTCGAGAGAGATTGTGTACCCCCTAAAGCTAAACCCACTATAGCATAGATAACTGTAAACACATGAACACATATGTTTGACACACCCCCATAGGCGAAGTGGGGGATAGCAAGAGCAAGCAATGGTCACAAGGACCAGTCAAGAGAAGAAGCAAAGCAAAGTAAGCTCAGGGTGGATCACAAAGTCACCACACAGTCCGAGCACAAGCAAAGGGCCACAAGGCCAGTTCACATGCAGAGTTATATAAAGAGAACAAACAATACAGTGATCATACCCTAGCAAGTGCAAGCATGCAGGTATATATATAGATCACAGTACAGGCAGAGTCAGGAAGTAAGTAAGTGAGGCAAAGTAGGCACAAGGCCTAACACAGTAGAGAAGCACTGATGATCACTAGGCGGAAGTGCCTTGGTGAAGACATCAGCAGTGTTGGCCCGAGTGGCCACGTACGCAAGGCAAAGCTGACCACACTGCTGCAACTCTCGAGCAAGGAAGTATCACAGAGCGATGTGCTTCGTTCTGTGCTCCAGTCTGTGCTCCTGACACAAGGCTATCATGGCCTTGTTGTCTACGTATAGGACGGGAGGCGAACGAGGCTGCTCTCCCAAGTTGGTCAGCAAGTAGGTGAGCCAGCGTAGCTCCTGAGCAGCCATGGCTCCGGCGTAGATCTCAGCCTCACAACTGGAGCTGAGAACTGAAGACGAGCGGGTAGACCGCCAAGAAACCGAGCCGGAACCAAGGCTGAAGGTGTAACCCTGTGACGACCGCTGCGTAGCTGAGTCGTCAACCCAGGAGGCGTCTGCGTGACCAGTGAGGACAACTGGACCCCGTCCTCCAAGCACAA